AGCGGACATACTGCCTACCCCTGACACAGCACACGGGAGTAACACCCAGCGGACATACTGCCTACCCCTGACACAGCACACGGGAGTAACACCCTGCGGGCATACTGCCTACCCCTGACAGACCTACTTTTGACACTTCTTCGTGGTTTAACCAAGACGACAGCACACTTTACACCCTAATTCACAAACTGGAATTTCACAGCTAGAGAGGAGCATCAAGCACAGTCAGGTTCCCATTATGGTGAAGTGAATCCTAAATTCCATCCATTTTCCGTCCACATAGCCAATACAGAGCTGTGGCAGAGCCTGAGCATGAGGCAGGGGTAAGGCCTGGACTCAGACCTAACCCTAACCTTAACCTCTAAATAGAGGTAAATAAGCAAATGCTACCCTGCTTTTTGAACTGCAGTCAGGAGCCAGGGACTGTATCACAGAAAGAGATCTGTTAGCTAACTGTCGGATTTAAGGTAGCCCAGGTTAAATGGGCTTTATCTTCATTCACTTACGTTTAACCCAGACTACCTTAAATCCATCGTAGCGTCTATGCTAGCTGTGCCGCACCTCTTTGCTGTGGTAGATCCACAGGTTGTGTCCGCAGAGGGCAGCGTACACCTTGCCGCGCGGCTCCTTCATGCTGAGCGGGCCTTGCTGCTCGGGTGGTGCGGGGAAGTCCTGTCCCCGAGCAGCGAGGAGGGAGCTCACCCAGCCGTCCTGCACCACTGTGTGTGTGGGGGGGGGGGGGTGCATTTTAGTGACTTAGAACGAGACAAAGAGAAGCCGTGAGGAGAGGCGTCCGGCGCATCCCACCTCGACTGTGCGCCATGAACTCAATATGCTTCTTCTGGAAGTAGATGCAGAAACGGCCCTGCTCCTGCACCCGGACGTTGGTGATGCTGGAGACGTGGAACACCACCTCGGTGAACTTGTCCTGAGGAGCACAGGTCAAGGCAAAGTCACCTCAAAGCTTCTTTACGGTCACCTTTGGCTGTGTGCCCCGAGGGCGACACGAGATCAGTAAAAGTGCAAGAAAATACTGATAAAAACCAAGATAAATGTGAACAGGAAAGGCATTTAAATACTGACAATACGACATTAGTTTTTTTTTGGGGGGGGGGGGGTACTCCCTTCAGGAGGTAAGCAAAGGGGAGCAAAGACGAGGTTTGACAAAGAGCAGGATGGTCCCAGAATTACACAAATGAAAACGTGAAGATGAATCATTCAGAAGACTTACAGTACGCTTCTTCCAGAGACACATAATCTGTCCGTCCAGCGTCGCCCACAGTACGTGGTGCCTGCAGACGGGCAGACAAGAAAGGAGGTAAGTAAAAGTACGAAATTTAAGATGTTACTTCGTGTCACAGAGAAGTAACACACTGTTTAGTATGTTGTGAAAAGGTGTTAGGCATAGAAAATTATGTTTTAATGACCATCCGATATGCCACTTGTTTTTTATTGTGTTACTCTTAGTTTGCATGTGTTCTAATGTTAAACTTTGTTTGCTTTTTTTTTTTTTTAGCAAATATGCACTTACTACCCAGATAAATAGATTTGAACACCTTCTCTGATGGTCTAAGACAGGGGTGGGCAATCTTATCCGCAAAAGGGCCGGTGTGTACGCAGGTTTTTGGGATAACCTGTAGGTCAGCTGTTCAAACCCAGGTGTGAGGACTCTTCAGCCAATCAGTCCTCTAATTAGTAATCTAATTAGGGAGCTGCGTCGAAAACCTACACACACAGCGGCCCTTTGCGGATTAGATTGCCCACCCCTGTTCTAAGACATTCACTCAGTGCCGTATGCGCTGTGGTAATAACTCAGCGCAATAACTCCAAACTGTAGGGGGCGCTATACCTGCGACCTTGCCACACATCCAGCCAGCTAGAGCGTGACACCACATTCTCCCCGGAAGACCCCTCGCCAGAATGGGGACCCCCACTGGAGACGGCACTTTGCTTCTTCCTGCTTACTCGAATGGTGGCAACACTATGGGATTGGAAACACACACACACACATTATTAATAACAGCAACAATAATAATTATTATTATTATAACATTTTCTTTACACCCCCACCCACTTGCTCTCTGTTAGTGAAAGCAAGCTGGCCACAAAGGGCAGCCACCCATAGCAGCACCCAGGGAGCAGGGGGTTAAGGAGGGGGATGGGGTCCCCATCAGAGTCTAGGTTCCTCTCAAGGTTTCTTCCTGCTAGAGGGAGTTTTTCCCCTTGCCACTGTCGCCTCAGGCTTGCTTGGTGGGGTTCTGGCCAGTTAAATGTAAAGTGCTTTGTGACAATGACTGTTGTTAAAAGCGCTATATAAATAAAATTGAATTGAATTAAGGACCTTGCTGAAGGACCCTCAGATGTGGGCTGGGCTCGAGCTAACGAGCTTATAATTACAGGCACAGAGCCTTAGCCCACTGAGCCACACACCATCTTGTCAGAATACACAGAGCATCCCCTCACTCATTCTTGTATGAAGCATCACCAGTGTTTTAATAAACACATAAATAAGTAGCCCACTGCACAGATTAACTGCCACACTGCCCAGTGACCGTCCTTGTGAACGATACATCGTCTTGGCTTTTTTAGTCTATGCCAAAACAATTACTAGACTGCTTGAAAGAAGGATGGTCAGTTTGCCCTCCTAATGCTGGTCTGTCTACCCTGCCTTTTATCTCCTGCCTATAGCGAAACGTTCCTGCGCCTCGGTGCGCCGACAGCGGCTTTCTGCACGTACCGGGGCAGCCGCTGCTTCGCAGGCTTGGTCTGCAGAACCAAAAACTCCTTGCGTGGTTGGGGGGGAAGCTCTTCACTCACAGTGTGGACCATCTCACCAGGCACTTGGGGCACAGAGCTAAGGCAGACAGACAGCAGTTCAAAGCTGGATTTAAACAGCAACATCATCTCTTTCCTGTGAACCGACCCCCCCCCTTCCCCATCTTCCCGAAAAAAGTAGTTAAAAAATTACCATAATGTATGTATAGTAACACCCCATGAATTACACAACCTGTTCATGTGCTACAAAGGCTAGGATTTAAAAAAAAATAACTTGCATGAAATACTGATTACAAAATATGAATTTGCGAATTGTGCAATACTGGATAGCTGTTATTTGAGAAATGCTACAGGATGAGTTCTGTGTCACACTTGTGTGCCATGCGTCTCATCCTCAGGAGGACCTGGACACTAACACTCACTTGTTAGTAGTAGAAGATTCGTCTTGAAGCTTTGGGACAGGAGGCGGATCCTGCGATTCGTCTTCTGCCGATGAGTCGTCCGCAGGTTCTGTAGCCCAGTCAGCCAAGCTTTTGAGGATGGAGTCCAATTTTTCAGTAGGACTCAGCGGAGGAGTAGCAGAGCAGGGGTCCAGGCAGCCATGGCTGGGCTCAGCAAAGTCTGCCTGGGCTTTGGTTCCCGCAGCAGAGTTTTCTGGAAGGTCCCATACAGCCAAGTCGGCATCCTGCCGTGAACTCGAGGAGCTTTGATCACAGCTCTCCTCCAGCGTCGGCTGGCTTGAAGCAGCACAGGTCGCCTGGTCATCTGTACCGTTAATTAAGCCAGTCCTGTCTTTGGTTTCATCAGTAGGACAGTTGCTACCGGAACCACCTGGGATCACAGCTGATTTAAGATCTTCTCCAACTGAAGCAGGTGGACCTGTGGGTGCATCAAGATGATGGAGAGCACTCAATAATCAAAGCACTTACAGGGCTCGCTGCACTGGGACACCACAGGGCTCACTATTAGCACCTCAACATATGAGGTGTTTAACACCAGCCGTAATGATATTGCTGATGAAATTTCAATTCATGGCCACAATGTGAATGACATTCATCTTCAAGGTTTCCCAGTAAAGCATTCAGAATACTAAAAATATTTTGCTTATGTGTTAAACCCAGAATGACCTTTCAGGGATGCGAACCTCTGACCTGTCTCTCAAAGCCCATATATCAGTAGCGTGTCGCTTAACATGCTCACAAACACCCGCCCTGCCCACCTGCAGCGCCGCAGTCCGGGCTTCCTTGCCGGTCAGACTGATTCTCATCTGGCACATTATTTGCGGAAACGCTAAATAGGAAAAAAGGTATTAAGCAAGTAGCAAGACTGCAAGAAAGTAAGCTTTACTGTATATACAGTATTAGAAATGAGCGCGACTCACCTGTCCGGAGGCGGCTGGTTTAGAAGCAGCTTGTGCCGGATGCGCGGCTTGGGCACAGGCGGGGCCTGGGTGCTGATTGTGTCCGACATGCTGGGAAAAATCACAACTGCGAAAGAAACCGGCCACAGTGACTGATAATGTCACTGACTCAATAAGCAGGTGGGACTGTTCAACAAAAAGGGGGAAACAGCTTTTTGCGATGTTCAAAAGGCCACAAGATCACGGAAACGGCTTGTAAATAAGGTGAAATACATTAGTTCCTATCGCACGTATTCGTGCCAATTATAAACTTTTCCCCTTTTCCCTAGAATGCGGAATCGGCCGCAATAGTAAAGCCTACGGCGTTTCCAAATCTCATACGAGTATCCGTAAACACAATGGCTATAAGTATGAACCCGGCGAGAGGTATAAAACAAACAAACCGACACAAATATGTGCTAATCATTCACCCTTAGCTTAATAGCCAACAGATAGTAAATAAAGATTAAATACCATGCGGCATGGTAACCTAACTGCTTACTCCGCGTTACTTACGTGGCAAGGTAAATGTCCGCAGCGCTAATATAAAACCGATCTAAACACGGTAGTAAATAGTATGACTTTAGTGAATATCCAAAGCCCCCTCTCCTTTCCCCGCAGCGCCGCCGAAAGTGGGCTGAAGCGCAGATCCAGGCGAAACTGCGCGCTTCGCCGCCGCCACACCGGTTAAACCCGCCGGGTGGCTTCTCACTGAAATGCACACCCTCTCGGTCAAGGCAGGAGCGAGAAGGCAAACGATGGGGAACCGGCCCTTCTGGCTCATGCATGTGACAAGCCGTGCGCTCATTGGGGAAGTCACGGAATTTATGTCGTCATATGGAAATAGATTCATATTCCTGATATACTTTTAAAATGATTAATCTCATACCAGCGGTGAAGTAGGAGATGAATGGATATGTCCATCCATACCCAGATCCAGGCCACTTACACCAAGACTGGGCACTGGGTTGTGAACATTTTGCTACCTGTACTTTGTACTTCGCTACCCGTTGTTTGGTCTTAAAGTAAAAAGTACCAAATGTCTTTATCCTCACTGTATCAATAAATAAAATAACATCATGTAATTAACTTGGAATGAATGTAAACTGAAAGATAGAAACATTTTGTAAAGTATGAAATTACTAGCCAAACGTGTGCTGAGGATTAAAATCTTAAAGATTTGTAAAGCAAGAGCATTTGTTTCTTTGAAGCATCACTTTCTCTTATTAGACTGGAAAACATTTAGTTTTGTTTTCTAAAGTGTTGTTAATTTTCTCATGACAACTGCTGTAGAGACACAGGGACTGATCATCCATGAATAATAGAAAAAGCTCAGAATATTTACTTTTCCCACAATGACATCACAATAAAAGCATTTCATCCACGTGTCAGTTTTCATTGACTGTTATTCCTTACTATTTACAAAGTCTGTGTAGCGTCATGATGGTGTGAGTATGACACAGGCCCAGACGGGTAAAAACCCAGAAACCTGCAACTAGCACAGAGACAAAAGATGGAATAACTGGTTTATGGCGTCACTATGCCTCTGCAGATCTTGCACTTGCATCAGTGAAAAGCAGAAATTCCTGGGTATCTTCCTGCACATCTTAGAAATGTAAGTTTAGACATCACAAGTTCAATCTGCACCAAAACTATTGGAATTACAAGGCTGACTAGTTTGAGTTTGAGATCAAAATATAAATGAGATGTCGTAGTCTTTATTTCCTTGTTTTTATATCTAGACGTGTTACACATACAAAATAGAACCCTTTGTGTCAGACCATCCAATTCTTAGGTGAGTAAAAGATGCTGAGTCTTAAAGTAAATGAAAGTAACACTTAATATTTGGTTGCAAATCCCTTGTTTGTAGCAACTGCACCATCTGGATCCGTTTAACATTTTCAGTGTTATGTTCACATCTATCTAGCCTAAGGTAATTATGATCTCTTTTGTATACTTTTCGATTAACCATTAGCTACAAATTCTAAATGATAGTTCCTCAATTAGAACAGTACTGATGGATATTCCTGTATGTATGTATATTGAAAAATGGGGATTATATTAAATCAAGCAATTTATATTTATAAATTTATAAATATGTATATTTTATATTTAATTAAGCAACTGAAAAAGTGCAGAAACAAATCCGGTGAAATCTTAACTTTATTTTGTGCAATACACTTCAATGTTTTAATTATTTTAACAGCAGATAGCAATAGTACATTATTCACAAAAACTTTGCTAAAGACTAGTAGACAGCATGTTCCACATGGACTGATTATCCAGAACAGCACAGAACAGAATTCAGTCAGTGGCAAATAAGTGACCTAATTAAAGAAGATTCTTTAATACAAGGTTTTAATTATCTACATTTTTCTCCCAGTCTTTTTTGCGTAACATTTTCTGTCTCACACACACACGAAAAGGGGCAACAGGAATGTGATTGGTGTAGAGTGGATGTGAGGTGGATGTGGATGCAAGATGGACAGAGGAAAATGAGGGCCGAGAGATTAACTGGCAGCCTGCGGGTATGTGGCTCCGATTGTGGCACAGAAACACAAAACAAGAGTGTGACTGGGGGTCAGTGGTTCAGGTGCCATCAGTTATTTTAAAAAGGGACACACACACACACACACACACACACACACACACACACACACACACACAATCAGGCTCACGCACCAAAATAACGCCCAAAAAGCAGGCAAGGTATATCATCTTAAAAATGACTTCAGATTAGGAAAGCAACTTGTACCACTGCCTGCACATTTTTTTTTCCAGAAAAAAAAAAGTGAACAAGCGAACAGTTCTTAAATGAACTATAGCTACAATTTAAAACTTTCCCTTTCCACAACCTGAACAATAGATATACTCTAGACAATTCTTAGGTTACTCGCACGAGTACTACTCTGTGGCTTGATGACGTATAATGCATGTGAACAAATAAATGCTCAGCTTCTATAAACCATATAAATGCTGCATGCAGGCCTACTACAGTGTGACATATGCCACGTTTCCTATGGCAGGGAAGATCACAGATAATCACTTCATCCACAGGAAAAAAATGTAGAAAAAAAACTGGAAAGTTGTCCTTGTTTTACACTTAAGATACTTTGAAATTTTGGATGCAAGCGTTTTTACAGTTAACGCAGGCTATTGTTCTCAAGCAGACTGAGCAAAACCATTTTACATAAATGGCAATGTCAAGTTTTATGTACAAAAGCAAGACGACGCTTGTATACAGCTTGAACTTTCTGTCGGGGGGGAACAAACACTTAAATTGTTTGACTGAAATTTGTCCTGGCTTGTTTTTTAATACATTCTCTATGCAAAGTATCGCTTTTAGTATCAGCGAATGCATATCGGCCGATGTTTGTTTAAACCTTAAATGATCATTCTGCATTTTCTGCATGTGTACTTCAGGATATGGGTAACAAGTTGATTTTGGTAATTGAAAGGAATTTAAGTTTTATTTTAAAATCATCCAAGCTACAAAACCATCGATAGTTCACATAGCATAGATTCCATTCTTCTTAATTTTTTCTGTATTTGTATCCATACTGACTTTTCTCTTTCTTGCACCGACAAGGAAAGTCTCCCAGTCTCATTGTGCCTTGTGCAATGACGAAGGCATTCATTCATTCGTTCATTCATTTGTTAGTGACTGCTTGACCAACCAGCTCTAGGCTGTTCGGTCCTGAGCTAATTACGTCGAGTGGGATTATTTGTTTGGATAGGTTTAAGAACCTTACTCACTATTTGCAAACAGAAGAAAACAACATTTGTCTGGTAATCTCTCAACCTTGATGTTAGAGTGATCAGCCGGAGACTTCCTCATCCACAACCAAACAGAAACCAACGCAGGGGAGTCTGAACCAGGACATTGGTGAGTACGGAGCATAGAAACGGCTGAAATTATTGTTCGACAGTTGTGGCTAGACTGACCACTCTGGTTTTGTTCAAAATGAAAGCAAAAAGAACTCCAGAAGTGGTAGGCAAAAGCTCTCGCTCTGCAACCCTACAGGCACGCCATGCGACTGGCATAAAGGAGATGGTATCCAGGTTTATCTTTTATCTTAGCGCTGCTTTGTTTTTTCAGTTCCTGAAAACCCTTTTAAATACAGGATAAAAGCACGTCCACACTTACTCCGAAAAGGGAAATGTGTTCTCTAACCAATGGCATTTTTAATGTGGTTGGTGCAACTGGCCATCAAGACACTGGGGTGGGGGAGGGGGCTGGGGTGGGGGCGTGGGTAATGGCACGGGAGGCGTGCATTAGCAGGAGCAGCTGCTCTCGGTGACGGCCTGCTCCGGAGCTTTCTCCAGCTTGATGTCGATCACTGGAAGCTACAGCTCAGGAATGCAGACAGACGCGGGCAAAGGCAAAGCGCGCATTCCGACGGACGTCAACAAAACTGCCTCGGCTCGCCTAAACTGGGAAATCCTCTCTAAAACGCAAAGACTATCCGAGCGGCCTTTTGTTAACACAGCCAAGCTGAACAGCACATCTCTCTTTAGTTTTGCAATAAGGAGCTAGGATTTATAATATTAACGCAGTATGCAGCTCTCATATGCAGAATTCAAGTAATCGGCATTCTAAAATATCAGTATAAAAATCCATAAGAAGTAATAACGTTATTGTATTAAAGTTTACACTTAACTAAAAATGAAGAAAATGGCTGCAGCAATGCCAGTCCCTGAGCATGCCTACGGAGCGGGTCGCTTCAGTAGCTGGATCACGGCAGTGCCACTACAGCGTGTTCAAACAGTACAATCATCATAGCGCGTTTGTAGAAACGGATTAAGGAACATGCTACAATTCATGTTTTTCCAAAAGTAACATATAACTATTCAGAAAAGTCAATGCAATACAAACACTAATCCTAGGAATTAAAGTGACTATGCTTATTTTTGTCCCGCTCCTCAACTGAAGGATACTGTCCTCTTTGCTCTTTTCGGGAGTGCTGTCCATCCCAGGCAAGGCAGCAGCTACTCGACGAAACAACTGTGAAGGGGGGGGGGAGAGAGAGAGAGAGAGAGAGAGAGAGAGAGACACCATTGGCAACCTGCCTTCAGTTCTTACAGCTCAGTCTCTACACAGGAGGATCCACCATTTTGAGCTTTTTTTGGAAAGCAAACTTTAAAACTGACTTGCCTAAATAAGTATTCTTTATGCACAAAAAGGTAACAGTAATAAAATTCCAAAATATCAAAGCTAGAAAGCCATTATGACTAGTGTTAAATTTACTTTAGCATTTATTTACACTGAAATAAAAGGTGAGAATCCACACCTGAATTAAATGCAAGCATCAACACTTCATACAATCCATTTTGCGAAAACTTTATATATAAAGAAGTGCAGATTAAATGAAAATGTCACTGAAATCACAAAGGGGTGGAGGGGACTCCAGGAACTACCATGAGAAGTAAATAAAATTGGTGAACCTAGTGCTGACACCTGGTGGTGGGAGTGGACATCACAAATTAAATTTTGTTGAAGAGATTATAGGAAAATGTTTTATTAAAAAAAAATATATTAGAAAACTGTGTGAAAAGACTGGGCTGAACTGTTCATGCTACAGTCTCTACCTGTTTCACATTGTAGCCAGTCTTTGCACTGGTCTCAATGAACATGACATTCAATTCCTTAGCCCT